GTTACGGGAACCGAAGAAAAACTATCGGTGTTCGAATACCGCTGTCTACGCGGTATTGCTCTGGTAGGGTCATTGAACAAGCAATGAGGAGGTGAACCGTAGCATCAAGCCCATAACATCCAGCCCTCTTGAAATTTGGCGCTGCTTCCTTAGCTGGGGCAATCACCTTCATTATCAATGAATCTCTTAACACTTCCACTATCCCTGACTGTTGGAGGTAGGCCACAATCATACCAATCCCAAAAGTATCGGAATCTTCTATCCTCTCCAAACGTTTTCGCCCCATAGCGTTAGCATCTTCAGCTCTTAAATTGACTAAAAACGCCTTCAGCAGTCTATAAACATTCTCAATGATCCGTTGTAGTTTGCTTACAAGCTTGATAGATTCACACTGAACGCAATCTCCAACCCTACCCATTTTATCAATAAATCTTCGAACAACTCTGTTAAATCTGCTCGGTGTGTTTTTCTGTATTACTCTTCAGCATTTGATTCCATTCCTCGATCTAAGTTGTTACAAAAAGTGGAATCGTTTAATGCCCCAAGCGATTGTTAGCTTGAATACCCAACTATTTTACTGATAAAGTACAAAACACTAGATTGTGAAAGTCTTCATCTAAACCATTGACCAACAATTCCGGGGTCCTTCAAGGAGCTGTGCTATCCCCATACTTATTTTCCACTTATATTTGTGATATTCCCTGNGACGTCGTGTTGTACCAACGCATTTATTCTTACTTTGATCTAAGCTCCTTCACCGACAATCTTAATCAAATTCAGTCATTCTCTTCCCCATCGGGACTAACCCTTAACCCCAGTAAATGTGTTGAGCTTTTGTATAGTTTTACTCGTTCTGCATATTCGACAGACCCCACAGTGACTAATAATCTTTTATCTAGGGAGAGCAGAGCTGTACGCTACCGAGCGCGTCCCCAGGTCGCAGGTAGGGGAACGGCCGTCATCTCACGGCTAACCGTTAATAAGGTGGGCTTCGGCCTTCCGAATAAGCGGTCGTGGACGATCAGCGGCAGCGCCAGAGGATGTGGTGGGTTCAACTCCTGGCGAGAGTACTCCGCACAAAACNAAAACACCACACATATATGTGGACAGCGCTGTGCCGTGGCGAATGTGGCCCGCCACTGAATATGGCCATAGCCTCTTGTCGAAATCTACTGTTCAGCAGGGTTTTCCAGAACAGGCGAATGAACCGAAAACCAACCACCGGTTCATCTGAAAAATCACTGTTGCCTTGCAGTCCGCGCTTGGTTGCACAAAAGCTATAGTGCATCCTCGAACAAATTCCTACTCTGGACTGGGTGACCGAGTAGTACAATAGCCCACATCGCAGACAACTATGAACGTTCTCGCTCTCATGATTTCGCGGTCTAAACCTTCTCTCTGTGGACCCTGAGGCTGCGGCTTCTGTTCTTACTGGCGTTGGTGTAGCTCTCAGTGAGAGAGCTGAGGTCGCCCTCCTGGATTGGATCCGTCGACAGTAGGTTGTGCGTAGTGAGACTCAGAGGTTAGTGCAAGGTAAGCAGCTATCGGCACGATAGATGAAACTTGTTTGTCGTATCGGCGTACGCTCCAACAGGCAGCAGACGTCTTGCAAGCTGGGCGGAGCACTTCAAAGCACAGTTTAGCTGGCCTCCAGCGTCAGCTTTTCACACAGCTATTCCGACACACGTCCCATGGTCTGTCTCAACAAACTCACCTTTTGGGGCGAAAATCCATAAGGAGATCCAAGCTTTGGGACGTCACAAAGCGCCGGGCTCCGATGGCCTTTCCCCAACCCTATTTAAAGATGGCGGAAATAAGCTTGTTGGAGAACTACAAGTTCTGTTCTCTTAAGTTTAGAATACTGAGCAGGTCCCCTCCTCGTGGGAGGAATCGATTATTGTCCCCATCTTCAAAAACGGCTCGCGCAATGACTGCGTCAATCATAGGGGTATATGCCAAATCCCGATAGCGTCAAAGCCGTTGGCATCCGTCATTCTCCACTGATTGTACATTATGCGTGAGGAGCAAACCCGCAAGAAACAGACTGGGTTCCATGCCGGTCTTGGATGCATCGATCAAATCTTCACCCTCTGACAGCTGCTAGAGCACCGTCATGCCTACCAAAGATCAACGGTCATTGTATTCTTAGACATTTGCGCGGCCTTCGACTCTGTCGATAGGATCACATTATGGAACTGTTTGTTGAAGAATGGAGTACCTGAGAAGTATGTGTCGATCCTCAA